TATGGGGAGCGGCGTCCAGGTTGGAGTAGGTTGAGCATATGAGCCTGGGGGAACTGTTCCTAGACCCAGTTTAGTCTGGAGTAGCACTGTCTCCAGAAGGGACCCACGCTAGAGCATATTCAATTCCCACCTGATCCCCTTTAGACGGATTCTCATGCATGGTCTCAACAACCACATTCTAGGCAAGAGTGAATGTACAATCACCCCCCACAGCATTCACTAAGTCAGAATTCTGGAAAAGGTGAAACTGTCTTTCAGGCTTAATTTATTTCTGCCACCTTGTTTTGTTTGATTACAACATGCATTTAGAAGATGCTTGTCCTTCACTTTCCATTCTCCTTTTAGCCTTTGTCACTAACCTTGCAGGCTCCCCACAGGTGGTTCCATTTGTAATCCATTTGACACAGCAAGACTATCATAATTAATGAAGCTCCCTACAGCACTGCCAGTGACCCAGAATGTAGGACAGGAGAGGCGCTGAAGCAGTGGAAAGAACAGTGGGCTGAGAGCCAGGAGACTTGACCGTGGTCAGGAGCCTGCTGTGGAGCCGCGGCAAAAAGAGGACAGCTCACTTTTCTTTTGTGCATCTCTTTGTCTCCAGTCTTAAACGGGAAGGATTGAAAAGAAAAGGCACTGTCTAAAATGAGGGCATAATCGCTACCCATTAAAATTCTTGCTCTTGACCACCTTCCTTTACTGGCCAATGAAAATCAATTTAAAACAAACTGTTGTTGAGTCAAGTTTTGATTGTGGTAGGCAAGGAGGGAGGTACGTTTGAACCTTTAAGTGCTGAAATAAACATGGAAGTTTCTGAGTCGAGAACTAGGGCGGAGCCTAGAGAACAGGGGCATCAGAGCATCTCTGTCGTAGAATCCCCCAGCACCTGCCTGGCAGGATTTTCACATGGTCGGGGTGAGGTAAGAAGGAAGGGAACCACTAGTGGTATCTTTTCCCTTTTTTCTCTCTGCTTCAGACCCACATGTAAATGGAATACACAGAGGAAGGGAAGCAAGAGCCAGAAAGAAAACAGATGGCTTTCTATAATGGTTTTCATCCAGTTACAAAGATGTTTTGACAATAAGGTCCTAGAAAAAAGAACTGGAATACATTTTTCCACATTTTACCCCACACCATTTCTTGCACATATTAACCTAGACTCATATAATAAACAGATGAGTTGCAAAAGACTTCCAGGTAGGTCATGGGGTAGCTCCTATGGTCCGTGTTGGTTTATGGAATCAGATAGAGGGATCAGGCTGATTTGTTCATTAAAATGGTGCCATGTGCGTCTGAAAAAAAAAATGTTCCAAAGGGACCCAAGAGACTTTCCTTCAGGCTTTCTCAGACCCTCTGATTCTGACTCACATCCGCCTCTCCACTGGTCAGCACATAGTGACATCATGCTGTGAGTACCCATGAAACATGTAAAGAACAGAGATGTGGCATCACATGCTGAGGGTCCCATTTCTCCTCCAAGTGAAGAAACCTGAAATTCCCTGAATTGAAGCCTTTACCTCAGTTTTTTTTTTTACATTTCAAAATCGTATTGCATCATTCCCTCCTGAACAGGTCCTTGAATCTCCTAGCTTTTTCCTTTTCCTGCTCCAAACAGATTTAAAGTTTAAATCTTGAGTATCATTTATTTGGGCTATGCCCTTTTCACTCATGTTTTTATTCACGTTATCAATCATTTATTGTGATGGGTTATATTTTAAAAATATATTTAAAATTCTTTTTTCTCTTTATAAAAGTAATACAAAATTATACAAAATATTTATACTTTTTATGATTATAAAAATTTCCTAGATAAATAAAATGAAATTCCCATTTTTCCATTAATGCACATTTTGGAAACCATTGGATGCACTTCATGAACTGCAGAGGGAATGTTTTGGATGGTTTGATTTGAAAAAGAGGCTACATGGGGTCCACGAAATTCTGTCTGAGGGCCCTAGTAGTCAACCTCCTGGGCACCTGATTGTGAGGTACAGCGAGAGGCCTCCCTCCATGCTGTTGGCGGGTGGAACTTGCCAAACATATCAAGAAACTGAAAATAGCTTCACACATGAGCTCCAACTCCAAAGACACAGGGACCGATGTTCTGTACCAAAGGCTCAAGGTCAATGAGTGGTAGTAGAGGCTGTTCTATTTGGTGATGACACAGGATTCTTCTGAGCTAGGCTGGGCGGGCCAGCTGGCAAAGAATAACAATACCGACAATAACAACAAAGCACCTGTCCAGTATCTGCTCTCTGAAAGGTCTGTAGCAGACTTTCAATAGGTGGTGTTTCATTTAACCCTCAAGACAGCCCTCTGAAGTGAGTAACGCATGCTACATCTCCTTTCCAGAGCTGAGGAAAATGAAATTGCTGGAAGTTAAACAGCTTGTTCCAGGGCACAAAGTTAGTAAGTGGGAAAGGGCCGGCATTTGAACTCACGTATCGCATTAATCCAAAGTCCCTGGTCCCAACCACCATGTGGATTTCTAGCAACAATCTTCCATTCTGTGGTCGGAGGGCTCTCTTATCACCAGACTGTGTCACTAGAGGCCACTTTTAGGCAAACAGCCTTGAGTGATGGCATGCAGAAAGGGCCCACCACGACCTGGCCGAATACAGGTCCATCTATCAGGTGGCCCACCTCAAAATAGCCATAGACCCTAACTGACCAATAGGCTACTTACAACCAGGCACACTTACCAAAAAAGGGAACATCCCATATGTCTCCATTCCTCCTTGTCTTCTCCTTTTAAAAAAACAGCCCCCTCCCACCGCCTGATTGCAGACAGCCTCTCTGCTCTTCGGCCCACTGCTTCATTGACGTGTGGGCCATAAACTTCTATCTCCTTTGGTCTGCCTCTGGTGAATCCCCTTCACCTCTCATGCCACTGGCTTCCATCTGATCGTTGCCCCACCTTTGAGGGCCTTCCTCTGATCTTACAGACACCCCACTTAGACACCACGATGTCTGTTTACCAAAACCACCACCGCAAGGTCTCCACAACAATACCCCTGTGGCTCAAGCCCATTAGTCTGACCCCAGGCCCTTCAGGGGGGCTTCGAGTTAATAATTGATGCTCCGCACCCCTGCCTCTCATTTCCTGACACCCTGCCTCCATTCCGTGCAGCTCAGGCCACTACTTGTCGGCCTCTTCATCTGGTGTTCCCACTTCCACCTCTCCGCCTTATGCCGCGTTGCTCCCCGAGCCAGCAGGCTCCCAGCTCTGCTGCCAAATCCTCTCAGAGGCAAGCAGCACCCTGTCCTCCCTCCACCAGGCTTTGATCAGTGGGAACCTCATGAGTTTCTTTCTTACTCTAGAAACCCTTTCCCCACCCTCAGGATAGCTCTCTGGGAAGCTGGTGCTTCACTTAAGGCTGCTCTGGCCGCATAGGGAGATGTGCTCCTGTGAGTCCTTCATACGTGTCTTCAGACCCTGGGGCTGCAGGGTAGGCACAGATTGAACAAACATTTACTGTGTATGCCAGGGGTTTTACTGCTAGGAGCCAGGCATTGCTCTAGGTGCAGAATATACAATCATAGTTGACAAAAGCATATAGAGGTGGTTCCTCTATGGACGGTTCACTCTAGTGAAAACATCTTTTCATTTCTGTGTTAAAGTGTATATTTCCATAGCTCTGGAGACAGACTGCTGGGGACCACATCTCAACCATTCTATGTGACCTTAGCAGAGGTAGCTAACCTCTCTTTGCCCCAGTTTCCTGAAAATTGGGAAACATGAATAGTTGTTTCCCTGAAAGGCATTATTTGAATTAAATAAGTTGATACAGTTAACACATGTAAATTATTTAGGACAGTGGTTGTGATACTGTGATTTATAATAAGAAGTATATAGTTGGTCTTCCACCTCATTCCTGGCACAGAACTCCTAAAATCCTTGGAATTTCCCAAGTGATGACAACATGAAGGGATCTTTTGTTATGTTAACGAGCCTACTTTCAAGAACTGCCTAAGAGTGGGGGCTGGTTGCTAGGAGAATAACTCTGTCATTAGAAAGCTGGAACTTTCAGTCCCACCCCCAACCTCCAGGGAATGGAAGGAACTGAAGTTCAATCACCAATGGCCAATGATTTAATCAATCATGCCTATGTAATGAAGCCTCTATAAAAATCAGCAAAGGACAGGTTCAGGGAACTTTCAGGTTGGTGAACATGTGGAGATCTGAGGAGACTGGCACACTGAGGGAAGGAGGGATGGAGTCTCCTTGTCCTTTCCCCACAATCTGTGCCTGGCATCTGACATCTGGCTGTTCCTGAGTTACATCCTTTTATAATAAACTGGTGATCTAGTAAGTAAATGTTTCTCTGGGTTCTGTGAGCTGGTCTAGCAGATTGACTAAGTTCATGGAGGGGGCCATTGGAACTTCTAACCTGTACATCTCAAGTGGTGGAAGAGGGCAGTCACGCAGCCCTGAACTTGGGAGATCTGGTGCTGTCTCCCTGTCAGGTCAGAATTCAGATGAACTGCAGGATACCGCGCTGGCGTTCATGAATTGCTTGGTGGTGTGGAAAACCACCCCCACACTTTGGAATTGGGTGCAGAACCACAGCGGCACACTGTGAGGTCTCCATAGATGTTATTATTACTTCTTTTGGATAACGAAGCATCTATATGGCAGAGAGCTTCCTTCGGAAACTTCTAAAGTGTCTTCTTGTAGGCTGTAAACTTCTTATAGGCAAGGGTCAAGTCTCCGTTTCTTTTGTTTGCCACCCCTGGTACAATGCTTTCCACAGCAAGTCAATTAATCCATGCCCTTGACTGACAAGGCCAGTAGAGGAATCCTCTGTTTGAGGGTCAGAGTACAACTGTGTTTGCCTGAAGGACTCCATTTTCATGATCATATCTTCTTGAAGAGAGAGGAGTGTCTATTCAATGCCTTCTATTGTTTGTGTAAAACAAACTTGTAATTTCTCAAGAAACAAGTCCCAAGGTTATCATGTTAACAACATCCTCTGCCTCAAAGAGAAATGACAAGAACTTACCTTGATTTTTCAATGGTAAAGGCATAGTTTCCCTGAGTTTGCTTAAAAGGTTTTTCATTTCTCGCATGTCTCTGTAAAAGTGATAAAAAGAAAAATAATCAGCTGTAAAGTTTTGAAATGCAATCCCCGTCTGTTCTATGAGACAACTGAGAGACGAGAGCCTGTGCTTAATTGTACAAGCTCTAGTTTCCAGTGGGCAAATACTGAATTTATTTTGTTTTTAGAAGAAAAAATATCTGAGCTTGATGGCTCTGGAGTGAAAGAGATTACTCTGGCTAACATTTCCACGGGGCATTCTGCTGTGGGAGCCCTCATCTTGCCTTCATTGGACCAGACTCTTCTTGGATAATGAGGACAGTACTGCTGCTGTGTAAGAGGGAGGTCAAGGTCATGCAACCTGAGTAACAGGAGTACTCTGGGCAAAGCTGAGGCTGGGCGATGGTGCTCTCAGATCTTCTGGTCAGAGGGCTGTTGAGGCTGTACAGGTTCACTTGCTAGTGTCTCATTACTGTGATAGAAATTCAGTGTAACACAGGTGTTAGGGATTTACAAGGCTCAACATTTATTAAATTGGCTTGGAATGACGGGAGACTAACAGATTGTAAAATCTTCAGGGAAGAGCTCTTCACAGTGGCAGGGGATGTGGGGGTTGGGGGAGGCTGAGAGAGAGACAGAGAGACAGAGAGAGAGAAGGAGGCAGGGAGAGGGAAGCACTTGGGACAGATGGAATTTTCTCTAGGCAATGGCATGTGGGTAAGCCACTGCATACCTCTAACATCTCCCCTCTCACCTTCGAGTACATATGATTATTAAAACCACCAAACAGTGGAGGAGGAAGCCTTCTCAGGGAGCTTTTAGTCTGGGGTAAGGGTAAGGTGGACTTTTCAAGTCCATGGGACAGTGGTTCCCCACATGTTCAGGTGGTCGTCCGCTAGAGATAGTGTTCTTGAAAGCACAGGACATAGTGGTAGATTTTGTTTACAAGAGCAAAAATCTGATACATCTTTTAGTTAACTCCAGGATAGACAAGCAATAGCTGGTACAAAGGATTTATGGAAGTTTTTTTGAGAGGACAATCCTAAAGTTGAGGAAATTCTATCTACTAACTTATTTTTCTTCTGCTATATGAAGAAAAAGAACCACCATTTACTTTTATGTATGAAATCTCTCGGTTCTTTTCTTTCTCTTTTTTAAAATTTTAAGAAGGCTCCGCACCCAACGTGGGGCTTGAACTCACAGCTGTGAGATTAAGAGTTATATGCTCTACTGACTGAGCCAACCAGGCACCCCTGTCTCTCAGTTCATTTCTTGAAACACAGCTATTCTCTTGAGTATGGTTGGAGGACCACTTTTCCTAGGGGAGGCCTGACACCCTATAGTGTCTCTCGTTCAATATTAACTGACGTGTAAAAAGGAACTCTTTCTCCAGAATGGCTGATTGGAAAAGGAGAGGAAAGCAGACTTGTGGATCATGTATAGAAATAACACCTTTAAAAGCATTTAGAATTCTTTCCCCATAGGTATGAGGATCTGCCTGTGGGGCAGTAATGACCATAAACTGCAAAGGATATTTCTAGAGAGAAAAGGTGAAAGTGGGGGAGGGGGAGAATGAAAGGCATAGCCCTACATCCAGAAGTGCAAGGGGCACATTCTGATTTTCTGTAAAATTCTCAAGGGCAGGTGGAATGGGAGGTGGGGAGGCACAGGGTGGGAATCGGCTAGAAATGCAGTATGTGAGACTCAGGCCAAGTCTCTCTGGAAAGCACCAATTCTCAGTCCTGGTGCTGCACTGGAGAATCACTATATGCTGAGACCACACCCCATGAGAGCCTGATGCTGCTGGTTTATGGGGATGAGGCTCAGGAATCAATGTTGTCTGTGTTTTTTAACGTTTTATTTATTTTTGAGAGAGTGTGAGTGGGGGAGGCACAGAGAGAGGGGAGACAGAGGATCTAAAGCAGTCTCTGTGCTGATAGCAGCAAGCCTGAGGCAAGGCTTGAATTCATGAACTGTGAGATCAAGACCTGAGCCGGAAGTCCCCGACATTCATCTCCGGACACTCATCCAACTGAGCCACCCAGGTGCCCTAGGAATCAGTGTTTTTAAAAAGCCCTCCTGGGGCATCTGGATGGCTCAGTCGGTTAAGCGTCGGACTTCGGCTCAGGTCTTGATGCAGTCTGTGGGTTCCAGCCCTTCATCAGGCTCTGCTCACAGCTCAGAGCTTGGAGCCTGCTCTGTCCCTCCCCCACTCACACTCTGTCTCTCTGTGTCTCTGTCTCTCAAAAATAAATAAATATTAGAAAAATTTTAAAGAAAAATAAAAAGCCCTCCTGATGATTTTAATGTGCAGCCTAGGGTGAGACCCACTGGTCTCTTAGGGAAGACAGAGGGGAACCTAGGAAAGGCTGCCTTACCAGGCCAGGTCTCTTGTACCTACTTGTCTCTGTCGTTCCCACCTCCTTTGACTTGAATCTGACTTCAAGACTGAACTTCAAAACTGTGGTCTATACTCTCCTTTTTTTTAAATAGAGGGAAAATTGGTATGTAGCATTATTTAAGTTTCAGGTGTACAACATTATAATTTGCCATCCGTATGTACTACAAAGTGATCACTAGGAGTCTTATTATGATGTCACCTTCTAATTGACCCCCTTCAACCATTTTACCTACCTCCATCCCCCAACCTTCCCCCTGGTAACCACCAATCTGTTCTCTTGTATCTATGAGTTTGTGTTTCTTTCATTTTGTTTTGATTTTTTAAATTCCATGAATGAGTGGGATTATATGGTACTCGTCTTTCTCTGTGTGACTTATTTTACTTAGCATAATCCTTCAAGGTGAGCCCATGTTGTTGCAAATAGCAAGCTGAGTAGTTTTCCATTATAAAACACACACACACACACACACACACACACACACACACACACACACACACTCCACCCCATATCTTCTTTATCCATTCATCCACTTATGGACATTTAGATTGTTTCAGTTTCTTGCCTATTGTAAACACGGCAGCAACGAGTATAGATGTGCATAAATCGTTTTGAATCAGGGGTGCCTGGGTGGCTCAGTTGGTTGGGCATCTGACTTCAGCTCAGGTCACGACCTCACAGTTTGTGGGTTCGAGCCCCGCATCGGGCTCTGTGCTGACAGCTAGCTCAGAGCCTGGAGCCTGTTTCTCGGATTCTGTGTCTCCCTCTCTCTTATTCTCCCTTGCTCATGCTGTCTCTCTCTCTCTTTCTCTCTCTCTCTCAGAAATAAATAAAAAATTTTAAAAAATCATAAATCATTTTGAATCAGTATTTTCATATTCTTTGGAAAAATACCTAGAAAGTGGAATGGCTGGGTCATATGGTAGTCCTATTCTTATTCTTTTTTTTTTTTTTTTTTGAGAAACCTCCATACTGTTTCCATAGTGGCGGCACCAATTTACATTCTCATCAGTGAGAGATCCCTTTTTTCCACATCCTTGCCAACACTTGGTATTTCTTGTCTTTTTGGTATTAGCTCTTCTAAGTGGTGGCTGGTAATATCTCATTTTAGTTTTGATTTGTATTTGTCTGATGATTAGTGATGTCAAACATCTTTCTATGTGCCTGTTGCCCAACTCTGTGTTCTTTGAAAAAATGTCTATTCAGATCTTCTGACCATTTTTAATTGGATTGTTTCTTTGTTGTTGTACAAGTTCTTTACATATTTTGGGTTGTAACCTTTGTTGGGTATATGACTTGCAAAATGTTTCTCCCATTCAGTAGATCACCTTTTTGTTTTAATGATGGTTTCTTTCATGATGCAAAATATTTTCAATTCTATATAATCCCATTTGTTTATTTTGCTTTGGTTTCCCTCGCCTTTGGAATCAGATACACACAAAAATATCACTAAGACTCAGGAGTTTACCACTTATGTTTTCTTACAGGACTTTTGTGGTTTCAGATCTTACATTCAGGTTTTTTGTCCATTTTTGAGTTAATGTTTGTGCATCGTGTAAGGCAGTAGTCTAGTTTCATTCTATTGCATGTGGCTGTCTAGTTTTTCCAGCACCACTTGTTGAAGAGAATGTTCTTTCACCATTGTATCTTCTCAGCTCCTTTGTCATAAAGTAATTGTTCATATATTTGTTCAATTCTGGGCTCTCCATTTTGTTCTATTGATGTGTGTATATGTGTGTTTATGCTAAAATAACATGGTTTTGATTACTATAGTTTTGTAGTATAGCTTGAAATCAGGGAGTGTAATACCTTCACCTTTCTTCTTCTTTATCGACAATATTTGGCTATTCAAGATCTTTTGTGGTGCCATGCAAATTTTGGAATTATTTGTTCTAGTTCTGTGATAAATTTCACTGAAATTTTGATGAGGCTTGTACTGAATCTATAGATTGTCTTGGATAGTATGGACATTTTAACACTATTAATTCTTCCAATCCATGAGCATGGGATATTTTTTCCATTTATTTGTGTCTTCATTTTCTTTTATTAGTGTCTTATAGTTTTCAGTGTATAGGTCATTCACCTTGGTTAAATTTATTCATAGGTTTTTGATGCAATTCTAACGGAATTATTTTTTAAATTTTTCTTTCTGATAATTTGTGATTAGTATATACAAATGCCACAGATTTCTGTGTGTTGATTTTGTATCCTGCTACTTTGCTGAATTAATTTATTAATTCTAACATTTTTTTTTTATTGGAGTTTTTTGGGCTTTTTCTATATAGTATCATGTCACCTGCACATAGTGACAGTTTTGCTTCTTCGTTATGATTTGGACACTTTTTAATTTCTTTTTCTTGCCTAATTATTGTTGTAAGGATATTCATTACTATGTTGAATAAAACCAAGTGGCCATTCTTGTCTTATTATTGATTTTAAAGGAAAAGCATTCACCTATTCACCACTGGCTGTGATGTTAGCCATGGATTTGTCATATGTGACAAATGTTGCCTTATGTTCCCTCTATGCTCACTTTATTGAGTATTCATAAAAAATGGTATTGAATTGAATCAAATGCTTTCTCTGTAGCTATTGAGATGATCATATAATTTTCATACTTCATTTTGTTGATCTGG